GAGACTTGTCTTCTGGAACGGAGTAGGTATGGTGCTCTATATTAGCATCTTCCAAGGTCTTTCTAATCTTTCTGTCGTCCTCACTGTCCTTTGGTTGGACCTTGATACCTGCTCCGGTTAACCGTGCAGGCTTCTCAGTTGTGAGCATCTTCTTGCTCACTACTTCTTTCCACTGTTCTTTCCTATGGATATACAGCGGCGGTGGCCTCTTCTCCTTATTCTTACTTGCCTCCGACTGCGGAGGAGTGGGGGTGGACTGGTCCATCTCTTGCAATTCTGCAGTTGTTTTAGTTGCAGATGTAGTGGCCGGGTTGTGACTAGGTGCCTTTTTCTTGGGGGCATCTTCCTTCCTTCCATCTTCTGAGGAGGTGCTGTGCCTCCTCTTTTCTTTCTTTTGGTTTTCCTCCATTACCATCTTGTTTTTGGGGGCATCAACCTCGATGCCCTGTCTCGCTGCCATTTGCTCAATGAGCTTGGCAGTCCTTCCGCGTTCTTCGGCGCTCGACCTTCTCTCTTCGATTAGCTCGCGCGTTAAGTCCGCCAGCTGACAAGATAGCTCAGCTATCTGTTTCTTTAAGTCCTCATTTTCTCTTCTCATTTTGTTGAGATACCCCTCATGTTGGGCACCCTCTTCGTCTTCGCTAGCTGAGGAATAGATGTATTCCTCGTTGTCCAACATCTTTGCCACTGTATCCAACGTGTCCCGTTCTATTATAACCATCGACTTTCCAAAGTACGACATTTACACAGTTTCCAGTTGCGGCCGCCCACTGGAAATTGTGTGTTCCATTCGCGCTGGTACCCTTTTAGGGTCACTGCACTTCGCTTCACTTCTCTCCTCTTTACTTTGTTGCGTCCTTTTTCGCAAAGTCCCGGTTTTACACAATTTCCAACGAGTGGAAATTGTGTAAGAGTTTTTTGTCTGCCCGGTTTAGGCTTTGCCTATTGGGTGGACGTCACTCTCGCGTTCCCGTGTTCTCTTCGCGTCTAGGTCGCGCGCGTGTCGCATTGTCGCGTGTCGCCTGTGTCGCGTGGGGTCTCACTGTCCTCGGTTCGTGTTCACTCCTCGGCGTGTGCATTGCGAATGGGAGAATGAATGCGCGGCTGTTGCCCACTGACGTAAGACCCGACCAAGGCAGGGTGAGTTACATTAAGCCGTCCCTCTAAAACGCCTACAAGGTGGCACCGAAGATACCATGGAAGATAACTCATTAGTGCAAGGTCCGTTAGCATATCGATAGAAGAGAGTCAAATCTCTGAGCACCTACCATCATTAGTATGTACAATAACATGGATTAGTCACATATTTTTCGATCTATGACGAACCTTTTTACATTGAATGAAAATAAGGTATAAACAGCTATGACGACAGCGTTTTTAAGTGGATGCATTATTTGAGATGTTATATTTACTTGTATGAATCTCACATATCCTATTTCTAAAGTACCTAATGAAATTAGTGAAACCTCAGAGCAGCCTAAAATATAGTCTGTTATTGACGGCTTCCCCAGTGCTCAACATTTGTAGTTTCAGCTAGTTTATCAAGACCACCATCACTGTCCAGAAAACTTACATTTTACATGAATCTCCGAAAAAACGCTCTGATTCATTCGTTCTTCACAGACTTTTCTCCGCTCACGGAGTATTTTATATACTTGTCTGTACATAAAAAATGTCAGCATTACCATACATCATAACTGGAATTAATTATTTCTATTCTACTGCCCTGCCTCTAATGAGCCGTATATTTTTCCACAAATTTATTGCCGTACTCTTAAGATTGTAATAGTCCAAGCATACTGCAGAGCATAATCTTTCAGCTTGCAAAGAGGGCCTTTCAGATCGATCAATTCGAATGAGTCGAGTCTACTAATTTGTTCTTAAACGTTTTTTGATAAAGGCTCAGTAAGCGAGCAAAATATCACTATTAGAAATAACCACTATTGAAAGCTGTTCTATGTAGCCATCCCGGCTAGAATCAAAGCTTTCTATTATGTTTTCATACTCGTAGACTACTGAACTCTGTCGAATACATCAGAATAACTAATAAAATGAAGTCAATGGTAACCCATCATGATATGGTCCAGATTCATTGTGTGCGCACTGGACTGAGTCAGTTGTGAATCCAGAGCAATGAACTGTCAACACTGATGGAATCGCCCCATCCCATTTGTACAATGAAACGATAATGCGGCCAACATACGACAAAGGGGTCCGAGAGAGAGATGGAGCTAGTCAGGGCAAAAAGCGCGCGGACTTGAATGAATTGCATAGGAAACCGAGGATTTTTAGAGAAGATTTAAAAGTTATTCAGGCAACTGGAACGAGATAAAATCCTGGAAACGTAATTATCATTAAAAAACCGAGTTTTTTTTTATTTATATACAGGGTGACTTTGAAGTTGAGTCATTAATTTTCAGATAATGATTGTAGAAGGAAGATAAACCAAAATATGTGTGTAAAAATAAAAAAAAATTAAAAAAAAATTTTTACCTTGTTTTATAAAGTATCCTCCCGACAAGTATTTCAGTGCGGACCTGTATTTGATCGTGAGGTCCCCTGTGAGGTCTTAAGTCACCTGATTCACGAGCCCGTTGTACTACATTAACAAAGGCACGAGGGGTTGGTTGCACTCGATTGGGAAACCGATCCGCATAAACATGTGCCATTTTTTATTTCGTTTGAGCCACGCAACAGACACTATTCACACGCGACACTGACTGTATGTATAACTGAACTGAATAAAATAATAAACTGTACACAAACATCGTTCCAAATTCTTTCGCTTTTTTGTTTCCGATGCGATGAACCGGTAAGGCGGATTATATCCGTTGTTGCCAAACACGAGCACATGATATTGAGACAGGGCGGTACTCAAACTTCCAAAGGGCTATAACTTTGTTACTTTAATTTTACCAGAAAAATGGTAAAGGAAAAAAACATTTCTTTTGATCAGATCTATTCACTGTTAAATAAATGACTCAACTTCGAAGTCACCCTGTATACATATGTATGAAACTTGACAATGAATTCTCCTTTACACATTTGAAGATATAAAAATTAGTATTTAACATAAGTAATTAATAATTCAGGTAGCAAAGAGATTACATGTCTGCTTATAATTAACTTAACTGCTCTAATATGCTATATCTTACATATAAAAAATAAGAGCTCTAAGAAATATCACAATAAATACATGTTATTTTCTATATATCTTTATAATGTTCCAGATAGTATTTATGCACATTTAAATTTATATTATTTTAAATGTAGTGGGAACACGTCCAGTTTTGTAGAGATTAAAGTTTACAAAGAAAAAACCCTTATATATATACAATTACTTGTGAATTGGGGAGAAAAATGTCTCCCCACGTGTAATATTTTTAACTTGTTCGGGTGTATTGATATAATTTTTTCTTAACTTTTAACCCAGGTATCTGTCGTTTTTCAACAAGCCCAATGTCCCCGTCCTTTTGTTTTTATACTAAACACAAGTTCGATCTTCTCTACGTCCTTTCTGAAACACCTTGTGGCTGCAACCTCACCGACGAAATCCTGATGATGGCTCCATAGAGAATGCCGAAAGCTTGATTTTATCGTCAAAAGAGTCAACTTTAGCCTAAAAGTTTTGCCAATTTCCCAATTAACAAGTAATTGTATTTTGTACCCAACTAGTCGTTGGCTTTGGCAATGACTACTGCTCACATATATATATATATACAAAATATTTGTGCACAATGGCATTAACAATACTGTAGATGCACAGTTTTTCATTATAATACAATATAGGTTATACCATAGTTCATTCTAGAAATTATGTATTCATGTTTTCTTTTCAAAACCCTTCGATGGCTAGGTTCTTTCTTGAGATGGGCTGGAAAATCAAACACAGATGGAACTGGCACCTTTTTTAGTACCTTATTTCCATGAACACTAACTTCATAATCCTCTGGAGTGAAACGCTTTTCACAAATTACCGTTTTTGCACTGGGAGTAAAGTTTTCTCTTCTTATAGCATGTATCCACAACTTCCTCATGTTAGGATCTGTAGGTATCCTAAAAATCCAGATATTTTCTCGAATTACCAATTAACAGGTAATTCTCACACAAAAATGAATGAGATGATTAAAACCAACCTGTGAAACTTCATTTTCACATCTTCTCTGCGTCTATTGCAACAATTCACCGCACTGCAAGATTCAACCATTTTTAAACAAATATCACATGAAACAACAGCTCTTGAAGGCTGTCCGGCATAAAAATGTTTATAATAATTGTCGCAAACTATCACTATTAATCTTTAACGTCACTAAAAACAAACATTCACCAAAAATCCTTAGAACAGATATGGAAATACCACAATGGACCACAATGTTTTGCCAATGTTTTGCCCTGACTAGCGCTATCCTTCTCGTTTCTCATTCTAGCCGCAATGAATTCGCGTTACGCCTGTTCCATCAGTATTGATAGTTCATTGATCCAAAGTATCTTGGAAGTCTACACCGGATGTGGAATGCAATACTCTGGTTCTCGGGAACGGTTGAAGTTACAATGTTGATTAAACGACAAAAAACATGCGTGGTTGTACTATCTTTTACGTAAAGCTTACATAATTGGGATATTTTTTCAGACATGTAATTTATTTGAGAAGAGCTAAACACAATTTATGATATTTTTATCTTAATTTTCCCTCTTCCTTTAATTTTGGTAAAGATTCTTGGAGTTTGGTATAGCTTGGCTGAAGTAATTGACCTCAAACTCACTTAAAGCCACAACGTTTGCCTTGGTTTCATCTTCAATTATTTAAACAGATCCTTCGGCATTTTTCCATATTACCAGTATTCCTGGCCTGTAACTGAATAAGGAGCGGATATGTTTTCCCATTGCGCAATGATGTACCGTGCTAATATCGCCAGTTGTTTTCATTCGGCGTACACGAGGCTGAGAAGAGCGGCCTGCCTGTATGAATTATGGATCTGAGGAAAGCGAAGATGTCTTTGTTATATCCTATTTCGTTGAAGGTGAAATATGGTTTGACGCCTCATTTCCGCAACATTATTTACCACCACCAGAATGCCTGATCCTCCACCTCCCTGAAAAATTACACGCTTATATATATTTTAATCAAGAAACATGGCCGCACTGCGTGAAGGGTGAGGCTCGAATTACCGAATAGAGTTGGTAACCGTGATTCATAGCCAGCTGAACACAAGTCACTGACATCACTGAAATGATGAAGGCGACTAATCAAAAATGGATCTTATTGCAGATAATAAGGTATAAAACCGATTTCACGACGGCAGTTTATGCTTAGATGTAAATGTTTCTTTTAAAAAGCAGCTTGCTTTATCAAGAGAAGCCGTTTCATTGAATGCCTTTATGAGCCACCGGTCGGATCATTTGAACTTGGGTTTCTTCTGCATTATGATGAAGAAGCCGCCCGCATTTCTTTTGTTACATCATCTCGAACTGATTGGTACGATAAAAACTAGTAAGATCTTATGTATTTTGATGGTAAACAGCAAACGTACTGAGTTTGCTATTTCGCAGAATTGACTAGGTCTTAACATACCATGTCAGTAAGTGATGTAACCAAACGCTTGCGGTCTGCCCTTGGACTATTGCTAGTTTACAGAAAACAACGAACTATGAGCCTTGGTTTGGCGATTCGCCCATAGATTCTAAATTCTGTCAAGGATCCGCGCGTTTCGCTCATCGGTGAGACTGTATTACCGACACGGTGATGCTGAACTGATACAAAATGCTTATAAAGCGTTACATTTATTTTGAGCTGAATGGAGTTCAGTTCTTTTCGCGCTAGTTATGGCAAACAGTCATATGGAATTAGTGAACATATCGTCTCAAAGCCTGGCTCTCTAAATAACTGAAAACTATGTCAAATATACCGACAGTTGGTCAAAATAGCAATTTGAGACTAAAATAAGTTAAATTTCATGCCGAAATTCCTCTTTGGTTGCTAAACTGGATCGTATAATATTGTGTGTAGAGCCCCAAAGGTGTTATTTGTGACTTTATTCAATAAAAAATATATTTTGTAGGCTGCAAATGGATGACAGGTATCCCCACCATGGATGAATGTCCAAACCAGAGTTCCCCAAACTTTTTGTGTCGTAGACCACTTGCCATGTTTTTCCGTGTTGGGTAGACCCCCTACTTACCTGATATTGATTTCCTGTAAATTTCTAACTGTAGTGAAGTTTAGTGTTAAAAACTTAAAGTAAAAACACATGTTAATTTATACATTTATTAATTGAATATAAATTAAAACTACTCAAAATAAAATTTTGTATCTGTTATGTAAAATATACGTAACATTAAATAAACAGGTGTCTGACCAACAAATGCCCGCATTGAGAATAAGTGCCCGCATTGAAAAAAAATAAGAGGGATAAAATAAAAAAAAAAGTGAAAAATAATAAAAAAAAAGTTTTTTACTTAAAATAGTACAATAAGCGAGTTCGTTTATTAATTATAACATAAACGTATGTTGTACAATAATTTTACTATTAGTTTGATTAAATTCCGCTTCTTATACGTTTAAGTTATCTAAAAATGGGCAAAAAATTAACGAATTTTAGTGTGTACCTATCATTGAATTTTCAGAATAATTCTTTAAAAAAATCAATGCGGGGGAATCCTCAAACCTGGATTCAAAATCTGAATAGGGGGCAGTTAAATGTTGAACGTAAGTTGAAACGTCGTCTTCCTGGCAGCTTGTCTGTGACAAATTGGGGAACTGAGAAAAATCGCCCCGTCCAATATTTTGCTTCATTAGTTTAACTCTGGCAAGAAACGCTGATAAGATGGACTTTGTTTTAATCAAATTTAAACTGTCGCCTTTTCGCAAATTAACCATATTCAATTTTGTAAACAAATCTGTTAAATAGGCGATGTCTGTTTTCCTCTTCATTAAATTTTCTTTTAGAATTTTATCTTTAGTTTCCATAAATTCTAAAATAGTCTCAAAAAGTCAAAAAAATCTTGTCAAACATAAGCCTTTCGACAGCCAGCGTACTTCAGTGTGAAGGAGTAATTGATGAAAGTGTTCGTCATTTTCTTCACACAACTGCGCAAATAACCGCGTATTCAACGCGTTGCTTCGGATTCGGTTTACTGCATCAATGACTGAATGAAGTGATTCATGTAATCTAACACTCAAATTTTTAGCAACTAAATGTTGTCGATGGATGACGCAATGTATTGCTAACACCCCTGACACATTTTGTTTTAAATAGCTAAATCCACGATAACGTCCAACCATGGCAGGTGCTCCATCTGTAGCTACTGATATTATATTTGATAAAGGAATTGCTTTTTCAATGAAGTAATCCTTCAAAACCTGAAATATTGATACACCTTTAGTGTCGGTTATCAAAGTTCTTGCGAAGAGCAGTTCTTCGTAGATTTCTTGATTCGTAATAAAACGAACATATGCCAATAATAATGCTGCATTATCAGGTAACTCGTCCAGTTGTATAGAGAAATGGGTCGTTTGCAAATAATTACATAAGAAGCTTTCATTATCAGAACTCATTTCATCAATACGTCTTTCAACATTATTATTGCTTAAGGGAATTCTTTTAATGATATCAGATGCAGGTTTGTGTAAAACAGTTTTTAAAACCTCTTCGACGGCTGGCAAAATTAACTTCTTTCCGATAGTATGCGGTTTTCCGGATTTTGCTATAAGTAACGAGATATTGTAAGACGCCTGCAAACCATCATCATTTCTTTGTGATGTCGAAGCGAACATTCCGTCCAGTGTAGGTCTCTTCTGAAATTTATCTTTGAGTGTTTGAAAGTATTTCAAATCTTTATCTGTTTTATACGCACACATAGGCGATTGTTTATCCGGCAATGATGTAATGAAAAAATTTCAAATAAACAACACTGTACTGTCTACATTTCTTTTTAGATTCGGACATGGCGTCAGTCATCTGTGGGCAAAATTAAATTATCTAAATAAGACAGAAAATCCAGCAGCTGTATATTAAAAATATTTTTTGATTTTTCCGAAAACATTCCATAATTCGAACATCTTGCAACAATTAGCTCGAATTACGGAGATTGCACTGTAATTATATTACCGATTGCTAAAACTTTCAAAAAGAAACTATTGAGGAGTATTCGTGTAATTTTGCATGATTGGATATTTAACTAGTAACAACTAAAGTCATGATTACCGTAATTTATCTATCTTTGCTAACTACGAGTACAAAACTAAAATTTAATAAAAAATAATGTACTTACTTTTCTCCAGCACTCTCAAACAAAATAACACTGACTCACCATAATTTGTATGATATACTATCTGTTTATATTTTTTAAAATATTTTCTTAGCACTTTCCTTTTCAAGATTCAGGAAACGAATAAACGTATTTGTCCCACATTCGTATTTATAGAGTGACGAATTGAACAAGTCAGTGCAAGGTAGCGAAGCTCTGAGACTGCGGGTCTCAGGTTTTTACAAGTTCAAAATGTATTGCGACCACAAAGCGAATACAATTTTATAAACAAATATAATAAATTTTTTACTTCATAGGTACTTTTATAAATAATGTATATGTTTTGATATTATAAGGTAGTATGATGTAAGTAAATAGGTACTATCAGTGTGTGTTGAGATCCACTAGACCCATAGGGGTCGATATAGACCACTTTGGGAATCAATGGTCCAAACAAAGGAAAACATCAACAAAAAACTATTTCACTACGAGTGGTGGTCCATGAATTTGCCCAGAAATGATTATCGACCTAGAAGCACTTCATTTACCATATATGATCAAATAGCTGTTTTGTGAACTCAGGTTGTATCCCTCATGTATCTCTAATATACTATAATATTTTTAACGAAAACCAATTTATCAACGATTCCCACTATATATTGATAACAGTAGTATGAGCTGTCACCTTAATGTGCTGAACTGATTCAACCGAGTGGTTACATTAGCTAGGTTTTGACTTTATTTTTTTTCAGATAAAGTGTTGTCTCCGATCCCCTAAAGTTGACCACTTAAAACAATTTTTCACTCACAATCAATTGTATGCTTCCACAATAACCAAACAATTTTTTTTTCTACTGGAAAATGTTCACCCTTGTTTCTTTCAGGATCGGACTTGCAGTTTTCCCAGTAGTGTACATACAAAAATTCTTATGAATCTGCCCCTTCCTATCTCGGGATATGTACTTGCGCGATTTGACGTTTTTCCTTTGATTTTAAAAATACACGTATTCCTATTTCTTCTTTCTCAAAATTCAACTTGTTGGGTTCTATACCCGATTGGAAACATTTAGCAATCGCCGTGATGGTTAAAATCCTACAAGCCAATACTATGGAAATTACATAATTGAAGGCACAAGTGGATGATGGTGTCATGTAACAAAATCATTGTGTAGAGAGGATTGACTTACGTGTAAACATTTTTTGCTATTATCTTGTTTTTGCAACAAAGTGATCACAGAATGAAATGATCAGTCCTTAAGGTTAGTTTAATGCAAAGAAAGCGGTTTTTAAAAAGTGTTACATGACACCTTTAGCCACTTGTGCCCTCAAATGTATAGTTTCCCAGACTGTTTGTATTCATGTTGTACTCTAATGAATGGTTTTCTTCCGTTTTTCTGAAAGAGGACCTTATTGTTGTAACTATTTTATTTTTCCATTGACATTGTGATGATTTTGATTAACATTCAAGGCCCTTTGTTGTAATATGTTCAGAAGAAGAAAACTGGTAGACGTTTTTGAAAGGTTGATTTAAACAAAGGATCACGTCCTTCTGGCATGACTTCATTTTGAGTTTGGCTACATCCCCGACAATTTGGACCTTGTGTTTTTCCTAGAGGTAGACTAATTTCCATCATGATTTGAACCTGTCATAAAATTGTCATACTATTAATTGTGTCTCATAAACTAAAAGTTATTCTTTTTAAGCGTATATCCTATGTACCTAGAACCAGTGCAGCGCGTGCCGAGTTGCTTTGGAACATGTCAAAACTTGCATATTAGGCGTGCGTTAGCTATCGTCTTGCAGTACTCGTTTATTCTATTAGTAAACGCACTGTTTCCGTTCTGTCGACATGTCGCAGGAATTATGTTCCGTCCTCGTCGAAGTAAATATTTAGAATACATATCGTAGTACCCTCGTAATATTATCCAACCGCCACGATTTCAAAGCGCGCACGCAGAGAAGGAAAGCGGCACCGCGCCCCTTTCCCCTTCGTTTCTTGCTTCTGGCCGCATATAAACCTTCATTCCTTGTTCTCGTGCCCGACCGTCAAGACGTTAATCGGCGCGCCTCGTTTACGTGCTACGGCAGAGCAGTGTCGAATATCCGCTGAACATTTAGAATTAGAAAACAGGACAGAAGGTAGATGTGCATTATCGAACGAGATACGGACCGACGGTCGCCTGAAGGCTGCTTTCGTCACCGACCAAAATTAAAAAGTGGCATGCAGGCCTCTTTGTCTGAAGGGGCGTCATCATCAGGTAACGGTCAACTAACCGATCTGTTTTAGGTGCAAGTTAAATGAATATTAGTATGGATGCCTCACCGGCTCTGCAAATTGTGCCTGGCATGACGTTTGGGATAACGTTCTGACACTGTTGCTTGGGATAGCAACCTGGACCTAACTTGTGATAGCCAACTTGATACCTAGGACGAACAAAGGCGTTTGGGATAACGCTGAAACATTGGACTCGGTTGCTTGGGATAGCAACGTGAACCTGGCTTGGGATAGTCAGCTCCACACCAAGGATGAACGAAGACGTTTGGGATATCGTGGAAGCATTAGACTCGGTTGAGGTAGCAAATCCCATCTAGTTTGTAATAGCAATGTAGCAATATAGCATTTTTCATTTATAACAGATAAAAGTTGGGTACATCTATGTGAGACTAGAGCGGTACATTTTGCTTGGGATCGCAAATTCTATCTGGTTTGTGATATCAATGTAGCAATATAACATTTTTCATTTATAACAGATACAAATTGGGTACATCTCGGTGAGACTAGCGGTACATTTTGCTTGGGATAGCGAATTCCATCTGGTATGTGATAACTATGAAACAATATTCTAAGGATGCATATGACAAGTTAGGAAGAAGCCGAAGTACCATTTTTCATTAAAGAACGACAGAGATTAGCTACATTTTGCTTGGGCTAGCAAATTCCACGTGGTTTGTGATAACCGTGGAACAGGTGTGTAACTATGAAAATGTCAGGTTGAAAACCGCCAATGTATATCTTATTCTTATCACCAGATAAATAATATGCACCTTATGTGAGGTTAGCGTTACATTTTGCCTGTGAGAGCAAATTTCATTTGGTTTGTGATAACCTTGGAATATCTTTATCAGAATGCACATGGCAGTTTAGGAAACCACTAAAGTACCATTTTTCAATAGAGATTAGGCTTTATATATGCGAGACAAGCATTACATTTTGCTTGTGATAGCAAATTCCATATGGTTTGGAATAGCCATCGAACAGATCAATAATATGCACATGACAGGTTACGAGACAGCTGAAGTACTATTTTTCATTAACAACAAATAGAAATTAGGTACATCTATGGTAGAATAGCGTTACATTTTGCTTTTGATAGCAAATTCCACATGGCTGGTGATAACCATGGAACAGGACTGTACATCTGCACATCTCCGGTTAGGAAACTACCAAAGTTCTAATGTTCAGGAATAACGAAAGCTAAATATCATTATGCCCGATTAACGTTACATTTTGCATAGGTGGCACTCGAACAGCAGGGTGCTATGGATTTTGTTCTCTTAAAGGCCATATAGTGCTGACATTTCGAGGACAGATCTTGTTGATGACCATAGATGAATAAATTCTGTTCTATTCTAGCCACCTAAGGTGAACCCTGAAATTGTCGCACGCAGGCTTGCGTGCTTGGAAAATCAGCACCTATCGAACTTTTTCTTGCCCCCAAGTCTGATGGGTCAACAGGTTTGATTCCTTACCTCAAAACTTTGTTTATAGGAATATAACACTTAAGTCTTGGCTGTTGAACTGGGATCAGACTTCTCCGTAGAGATACTTTCTTAACGAATCTGGATTTGGAATATGCAGGAATTTTGGTACCCGTTAATGAGAGTGATAGAATATATACTAAGTGACATATAAATCCGAACACCCAGTTTAAATGGTTTTATTTTAATAAAATGTTGTATAAGTACTTAATGAAGCATAATAAGTAAATGATAAAAATTTCAAAATGATTGCACTGCTTTAAAGCCATTTGACCTTTAATAATGTGTGGATGCACCCTGATGTGCTACGCATTCTCCAACGCGCCTAGGCATGCTTCTGATCAGGCGGTCACTGTCCTCCTGTGGTATCTCATTCCAGGCAACCACCAACTCCTCTCGAAGTGCTTCTAGAGTCTGAGGAGGACGTTGCAAATTGAACAATCTCCTACCCATCATATCCCACACGTGCTCAATTGGGGGTAAGGCGGGAGATCTTGGTGGCCATGGTAACAATGTCACATCATTATGTTGAAAGAAATCTATTGTGACTCTTGCAACATGTGGTCGGGTATTATCTTGTTGGAAAGTTGGATCTGCCAGTGTGTCAAGATAGGGTAAAAGATGGGGTTCTAGAACTTCGTGGATATAACGCTGCGCGTTCATGTTACCTCTGATGAAGGTTAAAGGTGACCTGGAATCATAAGCTATACCACCCCAAACCATAACTCCAACAGTGTGATGAACATGTCTTTCAACAAAAAACTGTGGATTCCTCCTTTCACCACGTCGCCTTCTAACCCTGGCACGACCATCGTGCATGCCTAAACAAAATCGAGACTGGTCACTAAAGACAATACTGTTCCATTCCTGATCCCAGAGTGACCGTTGTCTGCACCACTCAAGGCGATTACGTCGGTGTTCTCGAGTTAAAGGTGAGGCCGGTATGAAAACAAGCCAAAACTTCTCATTCGTCGGTAAACACTTCGCATGCCAATAGGTCTTCCGTGTTCTGCAAACCATTCATTTGCAATAGTCCTGGTAGTGGAGAAACGGTCCCTTAAGGCCAATAACCTTAGGCGGCGATCTTCACGGTCTGTTGTTCTACGGCGGCGTCCAGTGCCCCTTGCTCTTTGCGTACGGCCTTCTCGAAGCCATGACTGACAACACCTAACCACAGTGTGTACACTTCTTTGCACTCTAACTGCAATTGCCCGAAAAGAAAGTCCAGCTTCCTGAAGTCCCACTATACGGCCCCTATCAAACTCACTAAGTTGACGAAATCGTACAGGTCTCCGTACTGTAGGCATCGTAACCGATCGTAAAGGATGTCAAGAACCAAAATCCGGCAACGTTGATTCTTTACTGCGGCTGAAATATTCATTTTTAGAGCGTTAGTGAATTAAAAAAAGCAGTATAAAAACCGGAATGTCCAACTGATAAGGCTGAACATTTTTTCACTTGTTATCTACAGTAAGATAAATACATTCACCAACTTTTATTAAAATAAACTTAACTTGGCTTTGAAGCAAATGAAGGTTTATAGGCCGCCAGAGGGGAGAAAGGTAGGGGGAAGGGGCGCGGTGCCGCTTTCCTTCTCTGCGTGCGCGCTTTGAAATCGTGGCGGTTGGATACTATTACGAGGGTACTACGATATGTATTCTAAATATTTACTTCGACGAGGACTTCACATAATTAAGATCGAACATCGCTTACAGGTAAGTTCGTTTGGTCATGTAATTATTTAGTTCTGAAAAGGGAAAATTTGTAAAAGGAGATGTAAAGCATCAAATTGCCGGTTCAAAACTTCAGAAACTTGATAAAGAAATACTTATTTTTGCTTGCCGCCATCACGTCTACGAATTGGTGATAAAAGGCGTGTTTGAATCAAAGATCGACCAAGTAACTATAAGCCTTGACAATCCAATGTTTAAAAAGCTTTGCGAGAGCTTTGAGAGAGAGTGTGGATCCCGAGAAAATACAGATATATACTGGAAAGCTGTAATGCTTCAGAGGCTGACAAGCTGCTAGAATGTCATTGACTAGAATTGCCCAAACAAGTTGCTAGAAAAAAATTAAGATTCGACTGCCAGGCACCATGCATCAAGCTCGATGGATGGCTAGAGCAATATATTCATTAAAAATAGCGTTATTAAGTTCCCAGCTCAAAATGTCTAATAAGGATCAGGCAGCTATGCTAGATATCTGCCTGTTCATCGTGACAACAAACATGAAATCGTAGCTGTAACGAACTTGAGCAGTAAGAGCAGCTAACCATTTATGCTTTTTAAAGGCAATGAAGGCTTACGACAGAATTAACAGAAACCATTTCAAAAGCAGCTTTATAAAAGTCCTGCCAACATTTATGGTATTTGCCAGATGAGATGTCTCTGTCTTACCTCTTTTTGACGCGTCGTAGATGGGCAAACTAAAGTAAACATTGTCGCAAATTTAGCCAAAGAAAGTCCATCAGCCCACGGTCAACCCTACATCACATCAAAGGATGAACTTTCTGGCCCACTTTATGCTAAGTCAGACGAATGATTTTTCCTTTGGCTTATTTTACTGCTTCGATATGATATGCTAGCTGTTAAAATAAGCCAGCATAAACTGCGATTGTGGCAGTAGATGGCACCTTATACTGTCTTGTTTCGATAAATCTTATACCTCAGATAGAGGTTAGTTGCTATACTTTCTTTCGTCGTCTTGGCCTGAGGCCAAGCCTAGGCGATGCGGATGAGTTGTCAAAAAGCACAAAACAACTTTCGATGGATGACTGTCTGTGGTCGGAGATGTAGCTATTCTTCGTTTTTTTCATTTCAGGGAAAAATATCCATGACTTTGTTTCAATCAAAGGCAAGTCCTTGTTCAGTCGACTCAAAATTGATGGCTTAATCGCTGCTGATGACGAACAATTTTTTTATTACGTTGCTTACAAGAATACAGGTAGGTATATCCTGACTGTAGAAAGAAAACCTTGAAGGAGAGTTTAGTAGATAATGTTCTTTTAACGATCAATATCTAAAAAATATCTGATACGAATAAATCAGTCTTATTCGTCGAATAAGAATTAGGTTTTGAAATCCATACATGGTTTACCTATTAACTTCAAAATTCAAAGAATTACCGAAAGTACGGGTTATCGTTCCCCGATCGCAATAATATTTATTTTTTGAGTTGCTGGAGTCAAATGAAAAAAAAACAGAGGTATATGTATCTCAATTCGAACAAAACTTCGTTTGCCCCCATAGGCTGGGACACCCTACTATGCATATGTCGCTACTGTAAAGAGACCGAAAAAAATGTAAATGGTGTGTTTACTATAATATAACTATATTGGGTACAAACAGGCGTATGCTCGGTTTTCCGGAATAGATGAGTAGTCACTGTAGTGATTAAATTATGAAAAAATAATTTCTTGCCATCCCAACACTATGATGCTCGAATTGCGCCATATTTAATATATTTCCTTGATGTGGCGTTTCCAATTTCGTGTGAACAACATTAAGAATATTCAGAATAATAGGATATGCCTGTATATTAAATTTTGCCGCAAATCATTTTTTTTCTGGCGAGAGTGTTCAGCATGCGAACACGCAAGAAATGCACATTAATTATTCTTGCTTCCCTCTTAATTTTGAGGATTTCAGATTGAATTCATATGGACCCTTAAGATAAGCGTCCGAAGGTATGCACCTCACAGGTCGGACTGCTTGCTCTGAAAAGTAGACTTTAAATTATCTGCATAGAGTGTAATACTCGTACAAGCACGTGTAGATAATCGACAATTTGAGTAGATTTCGATCGTTCTGATTGCCAGTCATTGTTATCATGAACAAAAATCCGAATGGCGCTAAAAAATTCTTACGCCCCGTCGTCGTCGAAGAGCAATTTGTGGCTTTGCGTTCTTCTCGCAGCAATCAGATCCTTCCTTCATTATCCGTTCTGAGCTTGCTTCGAGGGGTTCCCAAAGATTCGTTACGCCGCTCACGGTAGCCATACTGAGGGATTTTTCTTCTACGATTGTTTAGGATTGCAGTCCCCGACCGGTAAGATAACTACTTTCTCTCCGCTATCCTACTCCCTGATTTCATGAATTGACCCCCAAGAGTGTTGTAGTTGATACAAGACGAATAACAGGCAACTGAGTGCGTAGGACTAGTATATACGGTACTACCCAACTAAGCAAGTTTTTGGTAAAATAACTGTTAAGCCGTAATAGCTCTTTTTTGTTGTTGCTCGAACAAAAAAAAAATGCTGGCTTAATGTTGTGTGAAATTCGAATTTGCTTCCTGCAACGTATTTGCTCTAAAGTGAGGTGTATAAGACAATCTTGTAGCATACTTATACAACACCTTATAGGATAAATTTAATTTAAAAACGTTTAATAAAACTTTATACGGCATAGTAGCTCTGTAGTCAAAATGGTTGTGTTGTGGTATTCATGGTAACATTTATACAACAAACGCAGGACTTTAAAATTTTAAAATTACTACCTTAGGCAATAAGATGCTCCTAATGGAAACATTTATACAACTGTCGTTCGTTTGGTAACTGTTGAAGCCTATACATCTGCAACAATATTACAACTTTTATAGTGCAAAATTGCTGTGCTCGGCATACACTTGTTGCTCAATATATAGATATATACGACTTCACCATAAGCTAAATTACTGCTGTCATATTTTTAGGTTTAACGCCATTACCATTATTTTTCTTCTTCAAGACGAGCAGCGCATGAGTATTCGTTGTAAAAGTTTTATCAATTTTTGAAACAGATAGTGTAGATCTGGTACAAATTCTGAGTAGAGCATTCGACTCTGCTCATATTTCATTTCAGAGATCTTATAAATTGCTGTATAACACTTGCAGATAACACCAAAATGTTCTAATAAACCAAATACAATATGGAGGATGCCATGATTAGACATAACCACCTGCCATAGTTGGTAAAAAAGTTAGTCCTCTATTGAAGGTTTAAAATAGATAAGTTCAGATTTTCATGTTAAAAATCTAGACATATCTTTGATCAATGTTGTAATGAGATCCAAATACGAAGCCCGTAAAAAATTACGTCACTACTTTGTAAGATAATCACAAGAAAATTTATATTTAATAGCCCTACATGGCAGTGTAGAAGCTTATCATATAGCTACTTGTGTACGAAATTTGCAATAGCCAATATATCAGTAAACAAAATGAATGTAATGTATTAGTTTGAAAAGATTCTTCACTTCGCCTACGTACACAGTATATAAAAAATAGTTTAGTTGCAATAAAACAAAAGATGTAACACAATGGTTGTATAGTTGACAAAAGCTTAAACTTTCACTGATACAAAGGTTCTTTAGCAGATGCAAGAGTGTTTGCAATTTCATTGTAGAACAGTTATCTGCACACCTTATGCAACATCTTGAAGCCAATTAGGTGCGCCCATTCCGCTTGTATAGCTGTTCTAAAAATGCTTTGCTTATGCTCTTGTTATCTGCAATGCTGTGAAAATAATACTGCATAAACGTTCTTCCAACCCCAACAGGAGTCATAATTGTTAGTTCTGTACCGCAGATTATTCATTCCACATATATTTGGTTTTTATTGTTGGAAGTCTTTGGCAAATAAAAAAACTCTTTGCTGGTGTACTATTCTGGGTAGATTTCATTTGGGAATCACAATATTCATACGCTTTTTGATCTAATCAGACCTTTCAGAACCATAATAATTTAATCAAATTCCGCGTTTTTATTAGTAAGTACATAGTCAGTTTTTTTATCCAAAACCGTTGTTTGGCACGTGGTTTGATGAGAACGCAAAAGCAACCTCAAAAGAATGCAACTCGTGTCGAGGGGTTGGTGTGTTGTTTTTAGTGAGAACTGTACCTTACTAGTTTTGGATCGGTGACGAAAAATTATATCGTTCAATGTCGAAGTAAAAACGAATGAGCTTGTTCGATTCTCCAGAGCGAGTTCTCTTTACATAAACGCACTCGGTGTACGACGCCCTTCAATGGCATTGCGGTGACCGCGTGACAGTTATGTGAGCGGCAACACCCAATAACGTCGCCGCGACAGCCGGAGCCGTCGGTATCCAACTAGAGCCAGGAAAACCGAACCGTCGCTCTGGTGGTCGTTGATATTTTTATTCCGGCACCGCCAACGCCCACACGGCCCTGCCGGACAGCGCTCGACACAATAACAAATCCAAAGTTAAACGGTAAACGAAAAGACACGCCGGATACTTTTGTTCACAAAAAATGGCTCGGATGGACAATAGGAGCTCCGGTAGATACAGGACTGTCAAATGAAGGATTGGTTTGATGTCTTCACAATTTACAGTGATGTCACTAAGACAGAAGAAGCTTCCGGATTTGTTGCAATCGAGGGCTTACAGTTTAATGTCTGAATGTCGAAATCACCACTCGGCCACAGGTTTCCCATTCGTGTCGAGTCGCAGGAGGATTTTCCCAGCTCTACTAACCTTATGCTGTTCAAAAATCTGATTAACCAAGTTTTTTGAAACTCCTCATAGCTGCCGCGGGGCCCTGGTATTCAGCCATCTGCATGTGTGGCTACTTTGGTATAAAAAAATTAAAGTTAATGTCTACACCTCTACCTGTGTAGCACACAAGAACGGTAAAATTGTGTCTGAGTGGTAATCTTGACATTCAGATGTTAAACTGTCAGTTCCCGGTCTTATCGAAATCCGTATCCAAGTTGTCAGTATACACATGACACATACTTTATAAGGGTAACTGTAATGCTAAGGTTAGCCACTAAGTTTGTAACGCCATCCGTGGGATAGATATCAGTATCACCGACACAAAACTAATAAAAACACCGGTTCTGCATAAACTTTAACTTTCAATTCAAAATTACGAATACATCAACGTCAAAGCATTGAACACTGGACTATCAAAATGAACGACGGGAAAATCAAGCGTCCGCGCCACTGTGTGGCTGTACTTCGAACTAACTATATAAGATTATTTGGTTGTCTACCAAATATACCTTCAAAGTAAGCATCTAAGCGAGCATTTATATGCCCCTGCTATATATCTCGGCTATATCAGCTAATTCCCGCTATATTTGTAGATACAAACTTGTCGCGTCGCGGCAGCGTACATTACTTAGGCTACACTGATTTATATTCCTCTAAGTGATTCCGACCTCCTGAGGAAATCATTCGACTTGGACAAATATCGTTCGGGTCTTCTACTTGGAGTAATACTCCCGCAACTGTATTGTACCTGACTGACAATTGTATGGCATCTGCATAAAACATGCTTAGCCGTTTCGTCTCCTTTGATGCACAGTCTGCACTCAGCTTATTCCGCCTTGACCAGCCTGCTCATGGGGTAACGCAAATCGCAGTGACTTGAGTACGGTCTCACTGAAGCTTCAAGACGATTCCTGTTTAGCCACGGCAGAGAGTCTGTTACCTTTTTTGTTAGGATGGGCATGATTGCCTTCGCAAGGGTTACCCCTGTTAATCCCTCCCAGTGTTAATGGATATTTCCTTCCATCTCTGCAGAGTTTACAGAGGTTATTTGTTTAGCCAGATTGTACGCGATCCTGCTACCTGGCTCAGAGCATATGAACGGTGTGTTGGCCACACTCTTTGCCTGAGTGTCGGCTGTCTCCTGTCCCTTCATACCTGCATGTCCTGGTATCCAAATGGTTCGCACCTTATTCCCTTATCTCCTATGCCACCAAGAGCTTCTTTACCAATCCACACTACTTTCCATGTTGTCAAGTATATCAAGTGAAGCTTCAAAATCTGAAAAAATGTGTATAATCCTGTGCCTCAGTACCTTAGCATATAGCTCTGCCTGAAGAATTGATGCCTAGGCTCCTAGGGTGGCTGATTCCAAGCTTTAGCTTCGACACGAAGATACCAGTCCTAACACATGCTTCGTTATATTGTTTTTTGATGCACTTTCTATCCTAGAAATACTATTGTTTTTTAACTCAGCGCGTATATTTTGATTATTTTATTAGTATAGTAGCCTCTAATAATACATTGATTGAAATTGAGAAAAAATGTTGGCTTTTGGGACTTTTGAATTTGTGGATAGATATGCGTCAGCAAGTGAGGCAGGCATGGCGTAAGCGACGGACACGGGCGGTTGGGATTTCTCTGAATAGCGTCGCAACGTATTCTCGTAATGTCTGTCACTGACAAAATTGCTTTTTCGTTTCAATCCTGCACATATTCTCTATCGCGATAGCTTAATCATCGTGTACAGACTGCAGACAGCGATTTCACGTTATCGTCAAAACGGCTCCTTCCTACGACCATCCCCTGTAGCGAGGAAGCAGGATCAAGCCACTGCGCAATACATGGTCAGGGCCCTTGAAATCGGTGATAAAAGCCGTATAGACCAATTATCACCGTCATCATTACGACACCGAAAACTTGTTACACTCAATGAGATATTGTGGCTATCGTACATACATTTACAAAAATAAGTCTACTACTACGAAAATATACTAAGTGACATATAAATCCGAACACCCAGTTTAAATGGTTTTATTTTAATAAAATTTTGTATAAGTACTTAATGAAGCATATTAAGTAAATGATAAAAATTTCAAAATGTTTGCACTGCTTTAAAGCCCTTTGACCTTTAATAATGTGTGGATGCACCCTGATGTGCTACGCATTCTCCAACGCGCCTATGCATGCTTCTGATCAGGTGGTCAATGTCCTTCTATGGTATCTCATTCCAGGCAACCACCAACTCCTCTCGAAGTGCTTCTAGAGTCTGAGGAGGACGTTGGAAATTGAGCAATCTCCTACCCATCATATCCCACACGTGCTCAATTGGCGATAAGTCGGGAGATCTTGGTGGCCATGGTAACAATGTGACATCATTATGTTGAAAGAAGTCTATTGTGACTCTTGCAACATGTGGTCGGGCATTATCTTGTTGGAAAGTTGAATCTGCCAGGGTGTCAAAATAGGGTAAAAGATGGGGTTCTAGAACTTCGTGGATATAACGCT